TAACATAAGGGATCATTTAATATACAACACTGCACTCATTCTGGATTACAGTATTTTAAAAGCATCACCCTTTTACTCGAAGCTCACGTAAAGGTTCTTACAAATTTGTTTTCAAAAAATGTCCAGCGTTCAATATCAAAAGTTACCACGAAATAACTCAAATCCCTTATGTTACGTCATAGTCATTAACATATTGGAAATATAAACCTTCGTATCTTAAAGACCCAACATTCAAATGACGAATTATTTTCACAATCAAATGTTCACTATTTAAAGAATCAATTCTGAAAATATTGTGTAAAGGCTTATAAGCACTTTAATAACTGTGCGATTAACTATGCATTGAACATGAATAAACTGGTTTTCCTCCCTCCACCAAAATCAACTTTTTAACTCCAATTCAATCATAAAATAAAGGTCACAAGTTTGTTAGCCACATTGGGCTATCATATCAACACGACTGTGAACGATATCGGTTTATCATGTACGTGTTGCTAGAATGGTATCAGTGCGTTACTGTGAAGTATCCCCTTCTCACTGTAAGACTGCAGCGCACGGAAAAAGAAAAAGGTAAAAATCGCATACCAAATATACCGAAATGAGATTAAAAATTAGAAACAATAAGTCTGAGATGAGTATTTTTTTTTTTTTTTTTTTGAACTTTCAAATACACAATTAGGAGAGAAGTCGTAATTATTCGTAATTATAATGCGTATAAGAATGCTCAGTAAGGTTTCCATGGTAACGTGGCATTTTCAGCAATTAAAAGGCAAACAGCTCATTAACTGCGTTTGTTTGAAGCAAGAGTGTTGTGACTGGTGTTTGATTTTTAAATGGACTACAGACCTCTCTAAATTACGTTCAATGCAAATCGCAATGAGTATAACAACGACCAGCGAGACCCAGGGGTCACAGTTTAGCGGGAAGTCCGAGGTCTCAGACGACGACGATTTCGTGCTGATCAAGATGAATGTGCCTCGAAAGTACAAGCTAGCACCAGGATTCCCGGGGTCCCAAGGAGACTCTTCGCATACAAAAAGAGCCTTAAATCGAGATTTGACGGTTCATATTAGTGGCGGTCATGACAAAGATAAAATGGTCGACACGGACGGTGAGTTTGCCACGGTGACAGTCAATCTGATCAGTTCTCAACCAAAACTAATGGAAGACAAGAAAGACGGTGAAGACGATAAGGATTACAAGAATAACGACCAAGAAGAAGACAAAGCAGAAGATGAAGAGGTTGAAAAAGAACAAGAAGACGAGGAAGGAAAAGATACCGAAGAAATAGAAGATCTAGACGTAGCTGAGGAATACGAAAACGAGAGCTCAAAAACAAAAGTCGTGAGCGTTCGAAGTGTCGTAGAAGACACATTAGTTCCATTGGCATTACCAAACATCTTCATTCCCTGTCCAAAATGTGCTCTTCAAGTCAATATTTGCCATGTTCGAAGTCACCGAGATTTTCACGGGGCTTTACACACTTTGAAGTTCGCAATCAACTACAGACCTCATTGTCTAAAGACTTTAATTAAAAGAAGAAAGTTGATAATTAAAAGACTGCTCGACTCAAGCGGGAAGGAATTTGCTGATAGAAATCTGCAGAAGATTAACACAGCTTTTGAGATTTTAAGATCCGAGTTGGAAGGAACTGGGAATGCATATCGTGTACTCGAAACAACCCTAGGTAAAGTTAATAACACAGTTTAATTAACATGTTAAACAATTAGTGTCAGGGTTATAATTCACAAATCTTATTAACGCATTTTATCAATGGTTAATGGATGGTTTTTTTGATGGACACGGTAAACTTGGTATTTTTAATGATCCGAATATTTCGTTCTTGAATATTACATCAAAGGTCAGTCTATCATTGATAAACCTCATTGAAACTTTGTACGAAAAATGTTTGCGTTACGTTCTTGACCTTTGCTTGATACTAGTAAGAACAGAGCTGGAAATACAATCGCGCAGTAAAGTCATCGTCAAAGCTACTGCTTCGCTTTATTATCATATTTTCTCTACCACATTCTTGCTTGCGAATTTATTATCATTATGGCTTGTTCTTAAATATCTACTTTTTGTTACTTGCCTTATCATTTAAAGTTTGACCAAGTATTTTTAACATGTATTGATCGGTTTGGACTTATTATTTTCAATAGCTGTGTTTACATGGGAACGGTTTTATTAACTTTATAAGATTGTAAGATGCCGCGAGTTTTTTATTCAAGTGTGAGGCTAAAAGCGTTTCCTTCTTTACTTTAGCAGGCATTTTTGCCATATCGTTTGTTGTTGTTGTTGTTTTTATTTCTAAGAAGCAATCATATATCAAAAGCCAGAATCGCTCACTGAGACAAAATCTGTTGAGGCAAATAAATTGGAAAAAAAGCGATCAAAAACAAACAAACGAAAAAGATAAAAAGACTATACCAAAACTTAGCAATCTGAAATATAGATTGAGTAGCAGGAAAACTGGAGTCGACTTTAGTTTCTCTTAGTATTGTTAAACACTGTTTGGTTAGCATGTTAGATTGCATACCATATATCCGTGAAAAAGTCAACTAACAAGATTGTATGAAATAGTGAAAATTTTGTAAGTCTCAACGGTCTACTGAGGTCTACTGAACTTACTAATTTGTGGAAATTTGTGCAATTTCTTACAAAGTTTTTCACGGATATATGGTACGCACTCTACTTCATGTTCGCCTGCTGCTTTTTGATTGGAACAGGATAGCCTGTGTCAAATGTCGGAATGCGCATTTCACTGACTGACGCGGTCTGTTTCGTCTTTCAGATCCCAAAATCAATAATTTCCAAGGGATGGAACTGTCTTGCAGCACAGCCATTGGATTGTGTGAAGAAAGCAATTATAATTGGAAAAACATGGAAGACGCTCACACCTACCAAAATCACTTCCTTGAGGACAGACCCAGTTGCTTCATGGGTATATATGATGGTTACTCTGGCAACACTACAGCTCAAAAGTGTGCAAGGCATCTACATGTTTTCCTTCGGGAAAAATTGAGAGATATTTTGAGAGACGAATTTGTAAGACTGGACTCATCGAAGGAGAAAGTTGCTTCTGCGTTCAGAGAAGCGTATTTTGATTTCCAGAAGATGCTTGTGAGGACGACCGAAGATGAAGAGTCCTCGAGAAGTCGATGGAGCGGTTGCTCTGCTCTGACTTGTGTTTTGACAGAAGACGTGTGCTGCCTCGCAAACGCGGGAAACGTCGGAGCGTTCCTTATACGTGATAAAGCAATGGTCAAAATACTCACTAGGCAACATGATCTCTACAACAAGAAAGAAAGAGATAGGGTACGAAAATCTAAGGGGTTCATCGTGAAGACGGAAAAATGTGCCCTGATTAATGGGGCCCTAGGGACCACAAGAGGACTTGGGAACATAGGCGATATGGATCTTCACAACTGCGTCATTAATGACCCTAAATTCAGGTCCGTAGAACTGTTAYCAAATGATCAAATTATTGTGTTGGCTTCGAGTGGACTATGGAAAATGTTTTCATACGAAGAGACTACGAACCTTGTGTTCGGATTCTTCAGAAAGATTAAACAAGACTTACGAGATGTGCTGACTTATGGAGACAGAATCGGCCCTTGTCTTACTGATGAAGGAAGACTTGATAACGAGCATGACGAGATCTACGAGAGGCTCAAAGGTCGTCATACGTACTATAATCAATTCTTACCTCCCAAGACCGCTAAAAACGGCCGCCAGAGCACTGTTAATTTTCTCCTTTTTGTTAATGTCAATGAGGAGAAGAAAGATCCTCCTAGAATACGTATGTCTTTGAAGATACCTTGGTGGAAAAATAATCTGGGAAAGAGGCGTATGAGTGACACGTGCCTTAGTTACCAAGGAAGTGGTTCTCATGGCGACAAGGATCAAGAAGAGATGGACGAAAATCAAGAAAATAGATTTGATGAAAATGAAGAATCCGAGAGCACAGCTTCATCTTACACAACGAAACCCCGGCGTAGACACTCTTTACCTCATCAAGAAGGATTGAACAAGCTCCACAAAGTACTAAAGGCTGATTTTTCACTGACCCRAAAGGACAAGGAGAAGCTATTGGCCCAGTATTTGGCCAGGAGATTGGTAAAAAGCGCTATACTGGCAGGATCACTTGATAATCTGACGGTGTTTGTGATTCTTCTTCCCGGGTTCTCTCTCGTTAACGTTCATACTGTGACTCCACAATTACTGGAAAATCTAGAACGACCATTCGGTATGGGACAAATATGAAGTTTTTTTTTGGCAATAGACTAGTTTCGAAATCCAAATTACCGCTGTGTTTCTTGATTACAGACTCATTTGTACAGGGTTAGCCTCGATTTTGTGTAGAATATTCACGTGTTACAGTCAAGGTCCGTCGAGTTTCAAAATGTTTGTATTGTTGAAGTTGTGCATTCTTTACTTTACCGTTGGTATTTGTGAATATTTAAACACTGATACGAGGCTAACCCTGTGCAAATGAGTCTGTAATCAAGGAACACAGCGGTTATTTGGAATTCGAAACTAGTCTATTCCGAGGTCGAGGAAAAAACTGGAAAGAGTTGGCATTCAGTCTATGATGCGGCTGTTTTAGGGGTATATATTTCCAAGATGGCAGCTATTTCGTCCTCTGAAACAGCCCCAAAATGCAGTGCGATGCCAACTCGATCCAGTTTTTCCCTCAACCTCGAAATTGCTAATATGCAAGCACGTCCTGTGATGAAAGAAATTCTCAGAAAATGAAGCTCGTGGCATCGTATTATGTTATCCTAAGGTTGATAATACCTGTATGGAAGCAGATCAGTTTGCGGTTAAAAGAAGTTATAGAATTGTTTTTTAATATTTCAAAAGATATAACAGACATTTTCGCTACGAAACCTTGAAAAAATCACGCCACTAAGGACAGGGTACGGTACTGACAATGATAATTTATTCATTGATATTGCGCAAATACCAATTCATCACTTATTTTCACGGGTGCATATACAGTTAGTATCCCYTGCAACCGTTCTTAGTGTCGTCACGCATTGCGTGACGCGTTGCGTGACGACATTAGGGACCTTAAGCTGCAGGACGGCAACGACGACGACGACGGCAACTATACAATAGCACTAATTGCGCTATTCAATAGATAATCGGTGGAATGTACAAAATACTATGCATCATTGCCGTCTTATGCTGAAAGTAAGACGTGAAATGTCCTATTTTTACGTACTACAGAGAACAGCTACTCTAAAAGCTTATCTTTGCTGATTTTCGTTATCAGTAAAGCGCTTCCAAAAGACGTCATTTCACTCCAAAACGGGGGTGCTTATTGAGTAAAATACTAGGTAAACACGAAATAATAATACAATAGAAGGTTGAAGCGCCTCAATTTCGCCGACGTTGTCGTCCACGTTGCCGTCCTGCAGCTTAAGGTCCCTATTAACAATGGCTACAGGGGAGACTAGTATATAATTGACTCCTCCAGTTGAATTATAATATGTGGTACAAAAATAAATTGGTATTACACATAAATGTTGAAACCGGAGCCTCCCTTTTCTGTTAATTGAGGAAACTATCAGTTGCCTGATATGAAGACCACGGGTGTCGRTCGCAACGCGTAGTCACTGTAAACCTATGCTCAGCGGTCTTTCGCCACACGATTATATAAACAGTAAGCAAACCACGTTCTGTGCGACATACGTTCCTCATTGGTAGCTTGATTTTAACATGGCTGAGCACAATCCAGAAGTAAAAGTACCCGTACTCCCCGATGTTTCAGTGAATCCAAATTGTTTGCCAGGAACTACGCAAACCAAGACCACCTCCACCAGTACAAGGAGAACTTGTGGTATTATTCCCGTTTTACTATATTGGTCGGGGTTTTCGATACTTGCCGAGTTGTTTTAATGTTCGTGGCAGGATTAGCTGTTTTATCAAGTTTTAGCTCAACTGTATTTACGGCGGCAGAAAATTTCCCTTGGTTTGTACGTTTTGTAGTTCTAATAGCAATGTTTTCTCCGTGTTTTCTAGTTTTGTTGGTCACAACCTAATTATATTTTGGTTGCCAAATATTTGCCAGTTTTGTTTAGTCATGTACTATTTGGCTCACGCGTTATTCATGGCTTTTTGTCAATGCTTTTTAGTTTTGTTTTATTGTGCACTCTGCCTCACTTCTGGCTGTTCGTCCAAAATATTAGCCAGTTTTTGTTTAGTCATGAAATTTGTCTCAGCTTTTTTTATGGCTTTTTGCGAATACATGCTTTTTGGTTTTGTTTTATTGTGCACTCCGTGGTTTTACTTCGTTCATACTTTTTTCTCACGCCCTCTTTCGGTTCCTTGGCCATCTTTCTGCTGTTCTGTCCTCGTTAAAATCTTTTCTGTTTGTCATATATATGATTGGCTTAGCTTTATTCATGACTTTTGTGTTTACGCATGCAGTATTTTGCTATGAGTTTGGCGTGATTTCACGTGCACTTTGTTATGCTGGCTTTGTTAAAAATCTATGCGTTTATTTCACGAGCACGTTTTTATGATGGCTTCGTTAAAATCTTTTCAGGGTCAGTTTTTGGTTTATCGTGACAAGTTTGGTTTTCTTTCTTTATGACTTTTGTTGTACACATGCAGTTATGCTGTGCGTTCTGTTGTTATTTTATGTGCTGGTATTATGCGGGGCACAGCTTCATCCATGGCTTTAGTCTTTGGGCATGAAATCTTTGTTGTCCGGTTGTGCGTATTCTGCTGTTTGGCGGCAATGAAATTCTTTTGTTCCGTCAGGTTTTTCTTGTTGATTTTCGGTTTTCGGTTCATAAGAAATATCGGGTTTAGTCAGTAACGTCCTTTTCACTTTCCGTTTGGTTTCACGCGCAGATGGCCACACTCGGGCCCCAYCCGATATAATTGATCTTATTGCCATTAAGAGCGCATGTAGATACCAACTACTTTCAAACAATAGCTTCAAGCTCAGTTATAGCACAACTAAATCACACTCGACTGGGTTATGTTTATGCGCCATTACAATCGTTTTGTTAAATTGCCCGTGACCCCTTTCCCCGTTTCCCTTAAGTATCGCTCGTATTGTTTCATTTGTAGCATCCTCCCGCTAATCGTGTAAGGCATTCATCTTCCCGGCGAGAATCCGATGGGTTCATCCCCTGGGTGCAATCGAACGAGAAACCATTGCGGGCTCAAGGGTTGGCAGAAAACAATGATCACATTTCTGATGTTTTCGTGGAATCGGTCAGTTTAAGGGATGGAGTTTGAGGGACGGAGTTTAAGGGATGGAGTTTGAGGCTATGGATTTTAAGTGTTGGGCTTTTGTCTATGGGTGTAGCATCCTTTCCTCAAGCGCAGAGGCATTATGCCCATACCTTAATCCATACGAGTGGAAGGAAGATCACTGAGTATAGATCACTATATACTATAGTGATTTATTTTCGTACCATAATTCAAAGCATAGTTATTATATAAGAATAATCAAAACGAATGAAGATATATGATATTAGTTAATTATCCAAAAGTAAAACTACAACAATTGAGAGCCTTAACCTGCTATACAAAACAGGAATATCAAAAGAGTGAAAACTAGACCAAACAATTATATCAGTGGTTCATAGAGAACAATTTCAAAGCTCCGTGATCTCTCAAAATAATGTATAATCAACAATTGTGATTTTTGGTGGAATATTCACCATAATCACTGAGCCTGAGGGGAATAATTGTTTTAGTATAATTTTAGACTTCAATATCAGGGAAAAGTCGAAATTCAGGATAAAAAAAGTTTTAGTATTACTTTCTTGTGGTCAACTTTGGAAAACCTCATCGTCTCAGAATCACCGGTCGCTCAACCAATCACAGCTTGAGAAACTCTATATTCAAGTCTAAAATTTACACTGGAAAGGCAGAGTACAAACACTATTAGTGTGTAACATAAATACCACTAAATACTGCTAAATTATGCCAACCCTATTGTTTTCTATTGTTTAATTAGCACTATTTACCACTAAATAGTGCAAAGTGTTGCACACTTTTAGTGTTTGTACTCTATTTATCGTAGAGTAAATAAAACCCTAATAGATATTTATATTATCTTGACAATGAATCAGGTGTGACAATGATTAAGTTGAGAGGCGAGCTTTCTCACTACTTCGTCACCCCTACTTCCTGATATTGGTTACATGAAGGTAGGATGACGTATATCAACAGAGTTAACTCTTGCTATCAAAGTCGCTGTCCTAGACTAGGTGCTATATATGGCTCTAACTTAAATCACACTAAATATTTCAAATATACAGTAGCAATAATATTGGTTACATGAAGGTGGGATGACGCATCAACATAGTTAACTCTTGCTATCAAAGTCGCTGTCCTAGACTAGGTGCTATATATGGCTCTTGCTTGGTTATCAGGGTGACACAGGCTAGGTATTCAGTCCTTAAAGGAGTTAAGGGTCTCTTTCCGGCCCTTTCACCTTTTAGCTTCGAACTGGCGACATGTCTTTCAATATTGTTTACGTGAAGGTAAGGTGACCACAACAATAGAGTTAACTCTTGTTATCAGGGTCAATGTCCTAGACTAGGTGCTATATGTGGCTCTAACTTAAATTGGTTACACTGAATATTTACACACATACAGTGGAAAAACCCTTTTTGCTGTGAGGTCCTGGCATCAAGAAAACAAGGAAAGAAAATAATAATGTAAGAATCTTGTCCGATATACTTTCTGTACAAAACTAACCTCGCTTTTCGTGGTCTTGACCTACGCCCCTCCCAACTAAATTAGGTTTTGCACTGAAGTGAGTCTTTGAAGTGACCGACTATTGTAGCAAAAAGTAATTAGAAAACTTTCTTAGAAACTGATCAATATTAATAATACACAATTTATAAACGCTGATTCCAAAAATGGAAAAGAAAATGGGGTGTCCGAGCAAATTTTCGACAATATTACTATCTTGCCAAGTCTTCAAAAGAAAAATGCAAGCTTCCTACAAAAACAATTCATAACTGAAAACTGAATAAAAAAAGCTACGGAAGTGATTTTCTCAGGATATCTACTTTAACGAAGCTAAAAAAATTAATTTCTCCTGCGTTAGAACAATTGACATTTAAAGAAGTCGATATCAATTATATTTTTAGAAGTTATTTCGAATAAGCTTAAAAAAGTATTACGTACCGCGCAAAATTTGAGGATTTTGCTATCTTGAAGTTTAAGACATGTATCCTCAATAAATTTTGATTCAGCGGTTTTGAGCAGATTTTGTGCGCGCGTACACCGTGTGCTCAATTTAGAAAGTTAAATAGTCTATAGTAGGCAGTCAACTTAAACTAGATAATTGTTAGATTTTACTCACTGTTAATGGAATTAATGTCCAGAGGATAATTTCCTC